TCAGCCGTGACCGATCTTGGCGAACGCATAGAACAGCACATCTCCCCGGAACTGCAGTACTCGTGCCGATTCTGGACGTCGCATGTTAAAGCGGCGAAGTTCGGAGCTTCTCTTGCATTAGAGATCGAGTCCTTCCTTACGAATGAGAGTGTGCTGTTCTATCTGGAGGTGTTGAGTCTTACACAGAATCTTGGTGGTGCAGCATCGTCACTATCTTCAATTATACCGTGGTTTAAGGCGAGTTGATGCTTGTGATGTGGGTTTCATGTAATATAATGCCATCATTATAGGACTATCAAGATCCCGCGCAGATTCGGAATGCTATCACAGATACAGAGCAATTTATACAACGATTCACAGAACCGATTCTGCGAAGCACACCGCATCTTTATTTATCAGCTCTGCCATCTACCCCTACGTCATCCGTGACGTTTCAGAAGATCGTAAGCAAATTTCCAGGAGCGATGAGAATTGCAGCTGGATCAATGAATATGTGGCCGTCACTTCAGAGAGTGATCTATGGGCATACAAATCTGGTCACATGTGTTGCAATCTCGCACGACGGCAGTCGAATCGTGTCTGGTTCGCATGACAAGACGATCCGAGTGTGGGACGCGGACGCCGTGCAGCAACCGGGCAAGTTGCTCCAGGGCCATACGGATAGTATCGCATCTATCGCAATCTCGCACGATGGCAGGCGAATCGTGTCCGGATCATGGGACATGACCATCCGAGTGTGGGATGCAGACATGGCGCAACAAGTGGGCAAGCCCCTCGAGGGCCATACGGACTGGGTCACATCTATAGCAATCTCGCATGATGGCAGGCGAATTGTGTCCGGTTCGGATGACAAGACCATCCGAGTGTGGGATGCGGATATGGCGCAGCAAGTGGGCAAGCCTCTTGAGGGCCATACGGACAGGATCAGATCTGTCGTAATCTCGCGCGATGGCCGGCGCATTGTGTCCGGATCATGGGACAAGACCGTCCGAGTGTGGGATGCGGACATGGCGCAGCAAGTGGGCAAGCCTCTCGAGGGTCATGCGGACTGGGTCACATCTGTAGCAATCTCGCACGATGGCAGGCGAATCATATCTGGTTCAGATGACAAGACCATTCGAGTATGGGACGCGGACATGGCGCAGCAAGTGGGCAAGCCTCTCGAGGGCCATACGGACAGGGTTACATCGGTCGCAATCTCGCGCGATGGTCGGCAAATCGTGTCCGGTTCGAGTGACAAGACGATCCGAGTGTGGGATATGAACATGGCGCAGCAACTGGGCACCCCTCTCGAGGGCCATACTGGCTGGGTTGCATCCGTCGCAATCTCGCACGATGGCCAGCAACTCGTGTCCGGTTCGAGTGACAATACCATCCGAGTATGGGATGCGAACATGGCGCAGCAATTAGGCAAGCCTCTCGAGGGCCATACAGGCTGGGTGGCATCTGTCGCAATCTCGCGCGATGGCCGGAAAATCGTGTCTGGTTCGGATGACAAGACAGTCCGAGTGTGGGACGCGGCTACGGCGCAGCAAGTGGGTAGGTCTCTGGAGGGTCATATTTACAGGGTCACATCTGTCACGATCTCGCACGATGGCAGGCGAATTGTGTCCGGTTCGAGTGACAAGACCATCCGAGTGTGGGACGCGGACATGGCGCAGCAAGTGGGTAAGCCTCTTGAGGGCCATACGGGCTGGGTCACATCTGTCGCAATCTCGCGCGATGGCCGGCGAATTGTGTCCGCTTCAGTCGACAAGACCATCCGAGTGTGGAGTGCAACTCATAGTACGCTTCTGCTTTGTAGCGGCCCTCGAGGATTCACTGCTGAGTCTTAATGTCTAGCAGGCAGAACTTCACTGGAAAGTGATCTAAGCCTAGTTTCCAGTATGGTCAATGCTTCACGGTCAATTTTGCTTCCATCCACGGGCGCGAATCTTGTGGACCTCGAGCCACACGTGTCTTTCACTTCGCCCATCCGCGGTTGGTTCTCATGCAAGGCGATAGAATGGCTGCGAAGACAAGTAGTTCGGTTAGTTTCCAGCAGACTGATCCGTGCCAATTTGAGTCCATGGCGCCGAGCAGACCAATTGATTCCCAGGGGGCCAATCCATACCGGATCCAGTCCTCGACGACAAGAGTTGAGCGAGGATATGGCTTGCACTTGTGACTTCAATGATTCAGATCAGAGCACAAACATCGATGTTGTGGCTCTGTCCAATCGCCCGATATGTTACTCACCGAATCCGGCGCACGCTTTGAACTTTTCCCATTCGTTTTGGGGATACTCTCCGCCTTCCGACATCTTGCCCGACCAAGATGGATGGGTTATTGGTCCGACCGGCCGACTCTTGCTCTGGGTCCCAATTCACCTCATGGAGCTGCCACGGATGTATGAACCAGGGACCGTTCTAGTGATCCCTGATGGTGCGATACAGCTAGACCTGAGTAGTTTTACGCATGGAGAGGCCTGGGTCAAATGCTATGACCCCGATGCCGTGTAATAATGCGCATGTACGGGCTGAAGACCAGCTTATGATGTAGATGGGTAGCGTGTGGCCCTTGCTGTGTATGCCGCCGGTGCGCGTATTGTATTTTCTATTTGTGCAGGTCAAGATACCATTGTGGCGGCGGGCCCCTTGTTCTGGGTACACGTTTCTGATATATATAAGGAATATATGCTCCACTCTATTGGTGCGTTGATGGTATAATGATTTGGAAGACGGAGGAGGTATATTTAATATCATATAGTGTTCTCGACGTATGCCCGGGATTCCCGGGGCTTTTGGGGAGACATGTGTCCATGCTGCACTGGCGATCGAAAGGATCATCGCCACCACACACCGCATCGGTTCTATGCATCCAGAAAAGAGGGCCAGGGAGGAGGGGGGGAGAGAAAATCATGAGGTGATTCGATCACCAAAGTAGTTGATGCATATCACAATACATGTCTCACTACCGCAGGACATTGTCGACCATAAGAGCATAATGAATAGAAAGAAAGAAACATGTCATTACAGCAAACATGCTTACCGGTTTTATTGTCAATCATGTTGTCCGCACACCTGGCTGTGGTCCCTTCGCCGCCACAAGCCATCGGCGTTCTCGTGCAACAAAGATACGTCCGTCTCCTGGAATCACTGCTGTCACTTCGAATATTGGAAGCAGGTGCCCAGAGCTCTCGTAGACATCCATCTCGGCTTCGCATACGTAGAGCGCGGGGACATTTCAACTGCGTACACTTTGTTGAAGTCAGTAGTGAATTTCCCCTACTGTCAAGTGCAGGCTAGATTGAAGCGAACTTAGAAATGTGACAGCGACGCGTGTGAAACGGTCGTCGTCACTCTACGGAACGCCTCCGAATGACGGCCTCGGCTGCAATGCTGGAGTCGTAGCCGGGACAACCAAGAGAGAGCCTGGAAGATCGCCTTAGGCGAACGACGACAACGATGGCACCTGACGACGGCTTTCAAGTTCGGAGTTGGCCATGTACTCAATGAAGCTAAGCGCAACGGCTGCGCTGCCGTTAACTCAACGCTCGGCACTTCCGCCCATGCACGTCGCCCTCCTGCTATAACAAAGAACGCACCCCGGTCTACAGCCCGTGTGGGTAAGCCAGATCGCGAGGAGATACACTCACCGTTATCCTTGCCTGTGCAAGACATTGCACACTTCCCACTGGGCACCGCAAATTCACGCCCGCCCCATGGTCACACCGGGACGGCTCGCTGTCAGTCTTCAGTCTCCAGCACCTCGTCAAATTCGAAGACCCGTACATGCGACGGGGAGAGACAGTATGAGTGGCCCTTATCGTTCTTCCGCGCACACTGGGAGCTTTCCCCGCAGCCATGCGTCGCCAGCCTGGGGCCTGATTGTGCACCGCACCCGGGTCACCACGCACACAGCGAGAACCAGCGAGGGCGACTCGGGATCACATTCTCCTGTCGGCGCATTCTCATCGAGTGTGCGTTCGTGTGGACTGTGGACTTTGGAGGTAGGAAACAGGGGAAAAGCAGACGGCCAGCGCGGATCGAGCGGCGGAGGTTGAGGAAGGGCTGGAGGAGGAGTGCGGAGCGGCTGTCGCCCCGCGCCGGGAGGGCCGTCCCTGAACGGAACGCACTCCCCTCCCCTCCTCCGCCCCTCTGCCACTCTTCTCCGAATCCCACACTGCTTAACCCCGCACGCGTGAAAGTGCTCGCCCCGCCTTTGCTCTTCCCCCAGCCGTGCGTGTTTCGACATGCCCAGGCGCACGCGGGAGCTCAGGCGACGGCCATCCTTGGGCGAATTTTGGCCCTGGCCCACACCGCACACATGCTGACCACGGGAGCTAGGGAGCTCTCCACGTTTATCCTGAATGATAAGCGATGAACGTTAACTCCTGGAGCTACAGACGTACGCCCGCTCGACTACAAAGCAGGGCGTGGCCTCCAGAGCTCGCCCGCTCGAGTCATGCGGAGGTCGGCATTGGCATCCGCAGCCCAGCTCGGTGCGGCTTCGTTCGAATGACAGCAATAGGTTTGATAGCGCCGCCAGCATCTCGTCGAATTTACAGTGGGCTCGGCGCCGCCGTCTCTGACCCGAGTCGACTCGCACTCGCCGGCTTCACGAGCGCAACTTGACCCCGTCGACTTTGTCGAGTCGCTCGTCCTCGGTGTTCCATGTAATTATTTTCGTTTCCGTCCATGGTCTATTATGTTTCTCACACGTTCGTTGTTTCTCTGCCGATGCGCTATGGGACCACCGCTCAAGACTGCTGTGCGACCATTCTTACTGGTGCAACGAGTGCGTCTCGCTGGATCACAAGCTTCTGGTGCGCTTTCTTGAAACGCAATTGAAATTACTGTGGTGAATCGGTGAGTCGACCTCCCGTTACCGTATGAGAGTGGGATTTGAGCCTTGCGAGGAATAAATTGGAACGACGAGAGAGTGTTCAGGTGGGACGTGGTGGGAAGATTGGATGGGGTGGTGCTCGCAGTTGAGAGGGACACACCACTGCTTTGCGTGTGTGTCCGCAGTCCAGGTATTGGTGTGTTCAATTGCTAGATTCGACCACATGGATATACTCGACGATGGTCATGCGAAAGTGTAGCCGCGGCACAAGGTGGTATAGTCGACGGCGCGGTTGCGGACAGTGACTGCTGGCTAAATACTGAGGGCTACAGGGCACCGGCCGTGCGCGTCTCCATGGATGTCGGGCCTCTTCGCAGGATGGATGCGACAACAGAGCGGCTGTGCTAGCCATCGTTTTATGGCTAGGGCTGGATGAGATCGATCTCCCAAGCTGGGGCTGCACGGTGCGACGCGTTTTTCGTTTCGGCGAGAGATCTCTGGAGTCGGATCATCACAGGACCCCTGCCTGCAAACTGTTGCCAACAACATGTGTGGCCGTGCGTCTCAGAGCTGCATTCACATGTTCTAATCTAAAGAGATGCCTGTGCTTGATCTATTGGGCTGGTACCAGGTTAATGTGAGTACGCCCCTCGAGGTCCCGCAGCCACACCTCCCGCTGTCGCTTGCCGGCCACTCCAACGTAATTCCGACTCCCCGAGCCTATCCAAATAGCCAACCGCGCAACCTGCACCCGCTGTCCAACGACCAGTCCATACGTCGAATCGATATCTACACTCCACCGATACGCTGCCGTGCGGCACTCACAGGAGCTTGTGTAGTGCGCTCTGACCGCTCACTACGCCGTCGTTGCTGCGCGGCGCGGCCCAGGCCTCTCCTTGGCTGCCTCACCGCTGTTATTACGCCTGCGGTGCGCACTCGATCGTGCCCCGATCAGGGGACAATCGGGCGGCCTTCCGCGCGCTGCTTTGGGCGTCGGGGCGTCGGGCGTCGGGCGTCGGAGGGGCTGGCTCTCGACGCGCGTGCCCGGCGCTATTGTGGGAGGCATCTGAACACGCGACCGAGGGGGGCGAGGGACCGTCTGGGCACCATGGGGAGGAACGATTAACCGAGGCAAGGCTGGACATGGCGATCTGCGCCGTGGCTGACGCAGGGTGGGCCGGAAGTTGTTGTGAGGGCGCTGTAGCCGAATCGACCAGCAGGCACTACGACGTGGGGACCCGGCGTGTGCTTGTGTGGGCTCTTCCTTGAAGTGGCTTGCAGGCGTGGTGCCCGACAGTGGCGACTCTCTGGTCCTGCGGTGAGCCGCTCGGTCTCTATGCACCCCGCAACGCATGGCCGCGGTTCTCTTCCCCGTGCTCCCAGCTGTTGTATGCGGTCTTCACCCACTCGATCCTCCGTCTCCGAGCAGTTGTCCCAGTAGCGTCCACGACGTCATTGAGAACGTTCACAGCGCTTCGCTTTTACCTTCGCCAGTTCCATTCTGCGGACACGCCCGAGTGTTTAAGACAACAAGATGCGTCGTGCACAGGGGCGAGCGTACCCAAGGCTGACAGCACTTGTCGGAGCAGCACAGCGCGATGCCACTGCACCTGTGCGCTGGGAATGCCCACTGACTTATGCAAGAGCTGAATACGAGTCCTCGCGGCGACTGGCTGCTCAATCATCGACAGCCAGCGGCACTCGGAAAACCACAGCCCGGCTCGAGAGGCCGGCATGCCACACGTCCCGCACACGTCCTAACGTCCTGCTAGTCCCAAGCACGCACAGCGTCCGGACACCGGCCCCTGCTCCGCCGGACGCGAACCTGCCTGAAAGTAGATTGTTTTGGGGTGAAGTGCGCGAGGATCCGTATACCCTATTTTGCGGCGCGGTCAAGGCTACGTACAGAGCCGCTGCCCGCCCTCTAAACGCTGAATGCTGGTCAGTCATCGATTGACCGACAGGTCGAACGTTCGCAGGCCGCGTCGACAGCCGTGTCCATGCCGTC